GTAGGAGATCTTGTGTTGTGGTTTTAAATGAAAGCAATATCTCTTGACTTTATTATGCCTTGAGAATAGTAAGTGCTCAATTTTTGACTCTTCTATAAGTACCTTAAATTGTATGATCTTAACTTTGCTTAACTACTTTGATTAGAGTGTCTTGATGAGTTCGACCCTGAGTGAGTTATGTGTCATGTGTGTGTGAGACTTTGTGTATTCTATGCAGTGCAATTGATGTCTAGAACTTTCTCCGTGTGTTTACAAAGCGAAATAGTAGATTAGTTCAATCTTGGAAGTGATATAGGTGTTTCTTTGTTGAGCCAGCTATATATGTTACCCACCAAATGGTTATGTATCGTAGTTAACCCCGTTGAGCCTGTAATCACGTTTCTTTGGTAACCATATTACAAGCCTTACCCTTTTATTTGAATTGACCATCTATTTGAACCATTTACCTCTTGTGAGCACTTAAAATTGGTATAAACCTTGTAAAAGTTGAAGTGTGGGGTGGTTGGTTTGGCTTTTGAGTGGAACTATTGAAATAAAGAGAAAGGTGCATTGTTGTGAAAAAGTATGAGCCACTTGAATCTAATAAGAAAATGAAGAAAAAAATAGTTTATATTCATTGATAGTGGTAACTCTTGATGTATTTGTGCTTAAAGAAGTTGGGAGTCGACATATACGGATGTGAAGGTAGAGTTATGGTTTGACATAAGTGTGGGGTTTAAAGATTAATTATATGTATTAAAAGTGTTTAGGGAGGTGTAGTTACTCTTATATCTAAATGTATCCTACCCGTCCCACGGCCTACATTACAACCAATTAAAGTCCTACTTGATCCTTGACTGAATTAGCTCGATTAGTTGAGTAATACACTATGGGCAAGCTTATGGTTCATCTTTTGTGGCATATGAATATTTTTCCGAGAGTGAGTGAATTCTTTCTATCTTTAGTTCCTAGTTATTCTTGATGTCTATTGTGTGTGGAACTACTCTCATGTTGTGTGAGGGCAATTGATTCATGAAGGAAAGGTAATGTTGTTGACATCTATGTTAGAGTAGGTGAGTAAGTTGTGAGTAATGCGTGGTACTTGTGAGTCAATTCTTGAGGTGAAAATATTACACTATTATGCTTAGATAATTTATATCTATGAAAATATTACTACACTATTATGCTTAAATTTATATCTTAAAAGTGAAAAAGAAAGATAATTTACGTAAAGAAATAAAATGACAGTGAAAATATTACTACAACATTTAGATATAATGTGTTCAAAAATCTATGAAAATATTTTTCTATGATTAAAATAAAATTTTAAAAATACAAACAATTTCTAATATAGGTAATTTTACTAATAAAAATTAACAATTAAATTTGTATCTTAATACAAAAATAATTATAAGAGAACTCAATACATTTGGAACATAACAATCAAATAACTTATGTATTATTATTTTAGACTAATTCAAAGTTATAATTTAAAATAAAATATGATATTATTTTGGTTATAGCCAAAACATTAATATAAAAAACTAATTAAAGTTTATAGTTGTCACGACCCAATCTCACTTGTAGATCGTGATGGCGCCCAACACTACAGCTAGGCAAGCCAACTAATAAATTAAGCAAACATTGATAAAATTTAAAACCAAGAAATCCCAAACTCTACCAATGTGTGTGCCAAGACCTGGTGTCACAAGTGCATGAGCATCTAGTAGATGATACAAAACCCCAAATACTGTCTGAAATGAAATAGACAGAATATAAATATAAGAAAAGACACTGGTAGCTGCAGAACGGCTCAGAAAGGCAGCTCACCACTATGCCTCAGGATGACGTGGATATGTGATGATAGGTCCTCCACTAATACCTGTCTCAAATCCTGCACAAAAAGTGCAGAAAGTGTAGTATGCGTACGTAAACAACGTGTACTCAGTAAGTATTAAGTCTAATCTCGAAGTGGTAGAGACGAGATGGCCGACTTTGACACTTACTATGAGTCAATGATAATAACTGAAATAAACTAGGATATTTAAATCGGCATGAATTACAAAATTTACAATAATTTGTTTAATCAGCAAAGATAATCAAATTCCTTCAAATGTAACAATTCTCAATATATTAATTAAATTCCTTCAATTCAGAAAAATTCCAATTTATCAATTTAAATCTCATTTACAGGAGTAACAATTAATTCCATAGCAATCAAGAATAATAATTCCTTAAATTCCAAGAATTTTCCAATTTATCAACTAGCTTCACAAGCTGAAATAAATCATTAAAGTATCGTGTAATTATTATTATTAAGCACGATTTCTGCTGAGGGCGTACGGCCCGATCCAGAGTGTCGTGTACACTGCCGAGGGACGTGCGGCGCGATCCATAGATGCATCTATCATGCCGAGGCGTTCGGCCCGCTCCACAAGAAAGGAGGACATTATTATGTACCTCCGGAAGGAGAGTATAATTATTATGAGATAAATTTGGGAGGAAGAATAATTTCTTTTAACAATTAATAATTTAAACAGAGAATCAAGTATATGAGGTTTTCATCCTTTAATATCTTTATCTAACAATTCACAATATATATTCATATATATCAATTAATATTAATTAATGAAAGAATACAATTAACACAAGTAATGCATGCTTTGAGTCCTAAACTACCCGGACTTTAGCATTAATAGTAGCTACGCACGGACTCTCGTTACCTCGTGCGTACGTAGCCCCCCACAATTAGCAACAATTATTTAATTTTTAATCACCTATGAGGCAATTTCCCCCTCACAAGATTAGACAAGAGACTTACCT